TATAAAGCAATGCCTAGTTCAATATTCTGCTAGTTATGAAACATAATGTCGATATCAATTAAATGTCACGGCCCTATCTGTAGATTGTCAACTTTTTGCTTTTGTTCCAAGAAGTTTATGTTCATAGAATACTTAGCTTTTATGCTTAGACTATGGAAACTAAAGGACATGTTATGTTGACATATATAAATCAGACGTTACATGTATATGATGCACTTTGACATTGAAAACATAAACATGTTATTGTCTTTGTTTAACTATTGCGTGCTGTCTTAAGCAAAAAGAGATAGCATTACACTGGTCTGTGTCAAACATGAGAATCGAAAATACGTAACGTCATCTTAAATGCCAACCGTGTTCATTTCGCAGTACATGAGGTACATGATACGGTTGTCAAAGGGAAGTAAATCAAATGTCAAAACAAATGTTTTTCCAAGTGTTTTACTGAAATATTCGCAAGTATTGTAATAAAATGGACAAAAATATTGACAGTGAGAACAATTAAGTATTAATAAAAATTCGTCGCTGCAGCATTACGGGATGTGGCATTAGAAAAAGCGAAAATCGACCGAATGTAACATTGTACAGGCACGTGCTATTTTTCTGTCTATAAATCACACAAAAGCCCAAATATCTCATGTAATTAGACATATTTAAGTAGTTTATTCATAAATCTTGCCAAGTTTTGCTTTGGTTTCTTCAGATTGCCTGTTTGTTTGTATATTTTTGAGATAGTGTTGTTCTTGGAAGCGTACCTATTTTCGATATTTTGTTATTAAAATAATTCACTACGAGTTTTTTTTTATTTTCTTATTATTGTTTTTAGTATTTCAAGTTTACCTACAAATCAAAAAAGAAAAAGGAATGGTTAGAAATCTTACCGCCGTATATAAACATTGGATCAAAGACCATTTTCATTTATTCGCTTCATTTTGAACAGTCAAATTTTAACATAACTTTGAATGTAACTAGATTACATGATAATGCAATTCCATCATTAGGTGTATTGGTAAACATATTTACATTTAATTTAGATTAAACAAGACTCATTTACTAGGCATTCTCAGTTCCTGAAAACAAAATTATCCACTCGTTTCCGATTTTTTTCCCACTGACAACTTTAACTACTAAAAATTCTTATTTTATAAAGCCAGCAATACAATGGCCATGTTGGTTCAACGTTGCCGGGTGAAGGCTAATACCAACGTATAGACAGCCTATTTGCCTTGCCTTGCCTTGCCATCGTTCGGTGTCACTCGCCTCGCTGACCGAGTGAAGGCGAGCGCTAACGTGTATAGATTTCGTTTGACGTGGCTTGTCACAACTCGCAGTCGCTTGTGACTACTTGTCTCACTTCGGAGAGGTGTCGATTTTTCTGCACAAATCAAAGGGCTCGGCAAATAGTAGTCAATTGATATTGTATTATCAGACATTTGCATACTATTTAATATATGCGAAACATGTTTATACTAACACTGTCTCTTGTTAGATCTCCTGTTATACCATGTTTTAAGCAAATAAACGTATGATAATAATGTTATTATTGATAATATTACTACTTTCATCTATTTCCAAAATTAAATGGAAGCATTAAATATTCACTTAAATCAGTCACTGATATTAATTCTATACCAATGCATAAATAAAAAACGCTTACACTATTTGGAAACTTTAAAAATTTCTCTATGAAAATATGAATTTTGAGGTTGGAAATGTGTAGGAGATCTCTAGATTTATATTTCAAAGTTTTCTCTTTTTTTATATACTCTCGAATTACATTTTTTCCGTGCAAATTCACTTTTCGTAATATTTGAGTATTTGTAAACGCAAAACAATAAATTCAAAATTTCATGTGACATTCCCGGATATTCCCATATGACCTAAAATATTCCCAAATGGAATATTGATCTACTTTAATTAAATGTTTGCATGTCGATAATGGCTTATCGATATATTAAGGTACGACACTAAAGAAATCCGCCATTTGTTCGTTCAATTTTTGTTTATGTATGCACGTTCATTCCTTATCTAAGGCAGCTCCTTTCTTTTTTTTTTTTTTTCATACTGTAAGGTTTTGCATACAATTTTTTTTTAATTGATTTTCACGGCTCCGGGTACTTTGAATTTTTGAGCCAATCGTCAAAATAATCACTTTTGAAAATATAACACTTCTATAGTAAAACGAAAACACTTTAAATTTCGTTCACCGTGATAAATATAAAATTATATATAAGTTTTTTCTTGAGATATTGTGCAGTGTTGCCATATGGTAGCATTTCTTACATTTTTCGTATATGTATATAAGTAATTTTTGTTTGTAATGCAATTTTCGTAGCTTTTGAAAATAAACCAAATATATTTGTTATTGTAAATCTTAAATAGTTTATGAACCTAAATTGGACAAAAACGTAACTCAGAGATGGCGCAAACAAAATGAAATTAATCAACTGCCTCCGTGGCCGAACTGTTACCATGCCGGACTGCCACGCAGAGGTCCCAGGTTCGATTCCCGAGTTGAGAGAAATATTTGTATGGCCTACATTTATTTCTCTTGTGAGTTTCGGTATATTTTGTGGTTGTCTATGTGTGTGTCTATGGCATCCGCGACACAGGGTTTCACTAGTACGGGGCTATGTTAAGTGTGTGCGTAATTGTTATTATTATTATTATTAATCAATTACTTGATAAAGTTTGATTTTTCTTGAGCGTACTTACCTATTTTAATTTTAGGATTTAGGCGTATTTATATATATTTTACAGATAGAATTTTTTATTAAAAAACAGAATTGTAAAATGTAATTTTCGAGTCAAGGGCAACACGACGACAACACTGATTTTGGACCTGTTATTTGTGGTTCAATCACGGATAATGGCGTGTGCATGTGTTACATGAAACTAAATCTGCTACTGTTATAAAATTGTTGTTGACTATAATCATTAACTAATAAACCAAAACCAGTTACATTTAAATTTATTGATATTAACTGACTGTCGATATCAAATATTAAAATCAACATTATTCCAATTGCATTAAGCACAAAATCGTAGTCTCAAATATGTATAACAATAAGATAATAGATAACAATAAAATATAAAATGAGAAAGAGAACTTCACGTTGTGCACTGAAAGATTATAATTGTAAGATTTCCAAATCGTAGCATCGTCCAATCATTTGATTAGCGGCATTTCTTTCTCACAGCTATATGCTAATACATACTTGCTTGTTCGCGCGACTCAAGGCGTGTTGGTTACCACCATGCGCACAACTGGTTCGCTCCGTCTTAAGGTGGTTTTCCACCGGCGAGACGAGACGAGACGAAGAGAGACGAGAATTGAAAGTTCGCCGTCCTATTTCCACCAAAAATTGCCATTAATAGCTCGCGCGAGCTCGCGCTGTGATTATGGATATTGAAGATTCAAGTGAAACAATAGGGTGGTTTGCATTAATATTAGACATAACTGGTTGAAGACTGCACCACCTCAGTCAACCGTGACCATGGGACCTGTAAAGGGCCCGAAACGTCGTTGTGTTTGAAAAAACAAATATACGCGATTTAAATCCGGAAAAATATTTTTTTTCCTTTGTCATACCAATTTCAATCCTCGTCTCCACTCGCCGGTGGAAAATCACCTTTATGCTGCCTTTTCACCAGAAATGTGAGATGTAGCGAGGCGGTGTGCGTGGACAAAATCCAGCTATATAATTACTTCATTTTCCTGGCCTCCCTTAACGCAGCTCCGGTGGAAAAGGATTAGCGGAGTTAAGTATTTGTACATACAAAATAGCGAGAGATATGTACGAGGAATGTGTGCGAGGGATGCCGGCGAGGAATGTGCGCATAACGGTGAAGGAAACTAGACCTACTGAAAGTATGACACTAACTGACACTGAGACATCGCTACTGCTCACCCCACCACACCGCACCCCGCCCGTGCAGAACTGAAGAGTCCGTAACGCATCCTCGCACCGCGCCGTTCCATATCCTCTCACCGTCTAGTTACCTCGCACAGCTTTGGTGGAAAACATCGCACCGTTTCACAGTGCCGCTACACATTCTCGCATCGCCTCGCTACCTCGCACATCTCTGGTGGAAAGGCAGCCTTAAAGTATCTTAAAAAAAATCAAAATGTGATGTCAATTGAAAGCAAAGGGCTATAAAATGCCAACTCGCAATGTTTGACTTCGTTTGTCAATACAGGATGAGCAACGATCACTTGGGTAACCCAATCATCGAAAATCAACAATGGGAGTCGGAGACGAGACCATTTCCAGTCACAGGGATGTGTTTGACTTGCAACGTTTGTGTAAGTCTATTTGTGATTGGACTCGACCGACGCTACTCAGCTGCTAGTCTTCATTTCAAATAGATCACATTCTGGTCGTAACTACATATTTGTGTGTTACATACACTTAGTAACATAACTTTGGCAATTTGAATAAATTCACGCTTAAGCTATTCCATCATTTCGTCTAAATAGATAACGGTTTATAGATGCTTCGTGTTGTAACGCTGCGTTGTTTAAATACAGTCCTTTCATGTGTTTGGGGGCTAATAATAAAACCTTTTGTCTTATTCAAGGATGTTGCTGAGAGAAAATAATACCATTCAAACTTTAACACTTCTCTGTTGCTCGTAAAAAGGCGCCAACAAAGAGCATGAAAACAAGGAGAGAATAATTGGTAAGGGAACCTTCATAAATGGTTGTGTATAAGATTTCCACAAGCGCGTGAATGCTTACGTCACTGTAGCCAGTAAAACGTCCGTCTTGCATATAAATCAGAGCGGGCTGTTAGAGTTTGAATAAAACTTAGCGAAATAACTTTGATCGTGTTTTAACGTCACGACCGCGCCCCTTCGCTACTGTGGGTTGTGGCCGCTCCAAGGGCTTAAGCATTAAATTACACTTTGTATCCGACCAACCTCCGCAACTACTTTTTGACTTAAGTGAAACCACTTTAATATACATTTAAAGACTAAAAGATCAAACTTCGATTAGCAAATTTTAATATCAACTTACAAGTGTCTATACATATAAGACGGAACTTGTCTAAAGTGAACAAGTGTTAGAATGATTTACTTTTGTTGAATAATATAAATTCTATTGACCATCTAAGAGAAGGTCTAGCTTTGAAGACTTCAAATACTCTTCTTGTCGACCTACGTATGGAGAATGGCGAATACCAAATGAAGGAGCTGGTACGGTCTTTTTCCAAAGTTTGAACTGAAAATACAAAAAATGTTTAATTTAAATGCTATTTATGTACAAACTATCTCGATTTTTTGGGATAATTTTGTATGGTAAATAAAACAATTTACTTTTTTTTCGCAATACGTATTCGGAGCTGGATTCTGAAACATTGGTACTTTTCTGAAAGGATAACCAAAAGAAAATGCAGGTTTCGCTTTCATCACGTATTCGAATTTAGGATCATGTTCACCAGGCCCTGGAAAATCTGAGGCTTTGAGAAGTCTTTGCGGATACCCAAAAGAGTATGCCGGTTCCCTTCTGAAATCAAAGCACATAACTAGTAAATGAATATTGTGTGTACTTAATATTTGTTATGTAATTTAATGCTTTGTCTAGTCTACTCTTTATTTATTTTTAAGTAACGTATTTATTGCTTATTCCTACATATTATGTCAAAACAGTTTACAGCAAAACATTAAAGTGAGTAGCAACTAGCTATATGTATAACCATATGTGGATTATATATACTTTACATATATATCGTATTATTAGATTGGACGTTGCGTTGGTGATATATTGAAATATATTGGTAGATAGAAGTAACAATGTAATTGAATCACATGCTGCAGTTAGACTATAAATGTGTCATGTGTCTACCTATACTACAATAATTGTAATATGAAGAAGTTAGATTTTACTTAGCGGGTATTGGCGGGCAGTACATGTTTGGACCTGGGGTCCACATATCCCATGGTTCTTTAAATTCTTTTGCAGGTGGTTGTAGAGTATAAGCGGGAGATTTTTTGATTTGATCGTGTGGGTCGTATTGACCAGGCCCTGGCTTTCTACCATAGCCTATAGGTTCAGATAGCATGCTCATTACACCTTGAGGTATTTTGGATCGACCTGGTGAAAAAACCACTTGTAAGTAAACATACCTATCCAATATTAAATTATATTAAAATAATTACACAACCAACACGTTGCACAAACAAATGTTTTACTTAATAGCCTTCACCACGAGCATTCGCTTATAATGTAACAGCTCAAAAGCGAGCATTACAGTGGCAGTGGTGAGGGAGGAGAACCAAGCGTTCGTTGCGCAACACTCGCAATATTCGGTAGCTTCCTTCACCGGAAGCATTCGCCTGTAATGTAACAATCTGTTCAGATTGCAAGGTTGTGACTCCACCAAATATAGTGGAAATGTTTTCAAGTCTTTACTTAAGTTAAGTGCCTGCGAGTGCCTTTCGAGTGTCTGCGAGTGCCTGAGAGTGCCTTTGAGTGCATTTGAGTGCCTTGTGAGTGCCTGCGAATGCCTTTGAGTGCCTTTGAGTGCATGCGAGTGCGTGCGAGTGCATTTGAGTGCCTGCAAGTGCCTTGGAGTGCCTCCGAGCGCGTGCGAGTATCTTTGCAATCACAGGTACTCGAAAGCACTCTAAGGCACTCAAAGGCACTCACAGGCATTCAAAGGTACTAGTAGGCACTCAAATGTACTCGCAGGCACTCAAAGGCACTCGCAGGCAATCGTAGGCACTCAACGGCACTCGCACGTGCTCGGAGGCATTCAAAGGCACTCAAAGGCACTCGCAGGCACTCAACGGCACTCGCACGCGCTCGGAGGTACTCAAAGGCACTCAAAGACGTACAAAAGCACACAAAGGCACTCAAAGGCACTCGCACGCACTCAAAGGCACTCAAAGGCAATCGCAAGCACTCAAAGGCAGTCGCACGTACTCCTTGCTAACTCGCACATCTCTGGTGGAATCGCAGATAACCGAATCTTGGATATTACATTACAGGCGAATGCTCGTCGGTGAAGGAGGTAGTTTGTAATGTAATGCTCAAAAACGAATCTTGAATGTTACATTACAGGCGAATGTTCGCGGTGAGGAACCACCCTCATATATATTTAACTAAAATTGTAATACCTTTCCGTGTCAATCCAGACACGTTAAATATAGGAGCATTAGGTTTGGCTGCTGGTTTGGATGTGATGACTGGAATACTTAATCCAAAACTATATGCCGGGGCTCGCTTTATTTTTGAATATCCACGACCACCTAGTAAAAAATTGTTAAAGCAACAAGAGTAAGAAACGTTTTAAATGAAGTTACGATGCTATATGTTCATTGATATGTTCCACGACTGCGCATGGGTCTCCTCTCAGGCGAGGGTTCAGGCCATAGTCCACCACGCGGGCCCATTGCGGGTCGGAGAATGCACACGTTTTGTGAGCCTTGTGAATCGTCTGTGACATGCAGGTTTCATCACGATGTTTTCCAGCTCATGGTAACTTTCACCGAAAACTCAGAGGTGCGAGTCAGGATTCGAACCCATGATCCTACTTGAGAGCCAGCAGGTCAAACCATCAGGGTACCACGACTTTTTATCTTCACGTAGAGACAAGAAATAAATGACCTTTATCTTTTCATTGGTAATGCTACTAATTGTAAGGAGAGATACCATTATGTTCTCCTATACATTTATCACATTTTTTCTTGTTTTGTTTCCAAAGTAAATAATTATTACCAACTCCTTTGATGTCACAATTTGGCTACAGTCTACTAGTAGCCAGAAAACAGGATCTTTACTCACAGAATATGTTAGGGGAGTCGTAGTGTGCCGGTCCTGGTAGCTCTACTTTCGCGACACCACGTTTTTCCACCGGTTTCGGCGTCACTTGTTTTATCAATCTCGATCGGCATTCCCAGCCCCAGGGCGCCATACCGTGAATAGAAATTAATGGAATCACTCTTCCTTATAAAACTCTCCTCGTGTAGTTTCGATTCGAAAAAGCACAATAAAATTAAATGCAATAAAGGCGTAAAAATATTTTAAATATGCCAATTTTGACGGCTGCTTTCTTTATTTTTTTGGCCTTGATGTGAGTCATCTATTGCATTTTTGTGCATATACATATTCATTTTAGACCAAAGACTATCTTTTTCCATCCTCTGAGTTTTAGATTATAGCGAACTTTTTGACAATTTGGGTAACAAATCGCCACACAGATAGACGATCAATTTGATAGACCCATTTTACACTATGGAAACCTTAGACTATTTTTTTTCCATCCTCTAAGATGGAAACGAAAGGACATATTTATTATATTGAGATATATAACTCAGTCGTTATATGTATACGATGCATTTAGACGTTGAAAACCACGGATTTATATATTTCATAGAGTCCGAGTTGAAAACATAAATTTTATTGTCTTTGTTTAGCTACTGCGTGCCGTCGTAAGCCAAAAGAGATAGCACTACATTGATTTATGTCAAATACGGCAATCGAAAATACGTAACCTCATCTTAAATACCAACTGTCCTCATTTTGCCATTTTTGTAGTACCCTTTGATAACCATTTCCGATTGTCAAAGGGAAGTACATCAAATGTCAAAACCAATGTTTGGTCAAATGTTTTATTGAATTAGTCGCGTGAATTGTAATGAAATGGATAAAAATATTGACAGAGAACAATTAAGTATTGACAAAAATGCGTCGCTGCAGCATTAGAGGTGCTGCAGTAGAAAATCCGGAAATTAACCGAATGTTACATTACACCAGCATGTGATATTTTTCTGCCTATAAATCATACAATAGCCCAAATATCTCATGTAATTAGACTCATTTAAGTAGTTTATTCTTGTTTAGTCTAAGTCTTGCCGAATTTTGCTTTGGTTACTTTAGATTGCCTGTTTGTTAGTATATTTTGATGATTGTTGATAACAATTATTTTCAGATAGAGTTGTTCTTGTAAGCAAACATAAGTATTTATTATTATTTTTAAAGTTTACCTACAAATAAAAAAGAAAGAAAGAATGTTTGCAAAAAAAATAGGACTGACGAACTTAAACATTGGATCAAATACCATCTTCGTTTGTTCGCTCCATTTTGAAGAGTCAAATTTTAATAAAACTTTGGATGTAACTAGATTACATGATAATGCAATTCCATCGTTACATTTGTTGGTAAATAACTTTATATTTAATTTTGATCTAAATGGCTCATTACTTGGCCTATTCATAATAGCCTAGTATTAATCACACTTCCATAGTAGCCTAGTATTAATCACACTTTGATTACAGTAAACTATACAAATTTGCAAACATAAAAATAGTTTCAACATCCAAGCCATACATTTGCATGTCGATATTGACTTATCTATGATTATGGTACGACACTATATTGTAATCCGCCATATGTGTGGTACAATTTTGGTTTAGGTAGGTACGTTTATTCCGTAGTTAGGGCAACTGCTTTCCTTTATTTTTTTCCATCCTCTAAGGTCAAGAGCAAGTTTATGGGTAGAGTAGCTAAGCTTTACAGTTTTGTTTTAAAATTTGCAATGAAGGTTTTCGTAAAAACTAATCGAATCAGACATTGGACGGGTAAACAGAAAAGAAACTGGTGATATTTTCCACAGTGCAGGAAATTGAGCTACACCGGATATCGTCGCACCGGAACGGTGTGCGATGGAGTAATGGTCGAGGTGGCCTATCTTCATTATTCTTCAATTTTGTTTTACGAAATAAGCTTTTAAAAACATTTAAAAAATTTCGTTCGTTTATGTAACGTGTTTATTTATCGATAAATACTTAATTCACATTATTTAGGTACAGTTATTAGGTATGTTCTGTTCTTATAAAAGTGGACAGTGGAAATAGGTGAGGGGTCCTACAAACGATTATGAAGGTGACTTTCAAGTTATTTTTCTCTTCTTAATTTCGGTGATAATTTTTATTACTTAAATATACCTAGAATATTATCATATGCCAATAGGTACTTAACGTTCAAGTGTAGTATCCTGAAACGTTATTCAATGTTTCATGATAATATACTGCCGAAATTTAGTGGAGAAAACTAATCTCAAAATTATCCATTAATTCTTTTTGGACAACTGTATTAAGCATAAACCGTATTAGATTACGCAAAGATAGTCCATTATTCAATTATTCGTCATCTGAAAAAAAAAGCTTTTGTACCAACTCTGTTGTGTACTTTTGTACTAACTTTTTAAAAACGATATACATTTTGTGCACAGTATTTCGTACATTAAAAAATTAATAGAAAATCCATAGCATCAGTTTCAATAACCCGCCAGTGTTATTTATTCAGCGAGGATTGGAAAATTAAAAAAAAGCGCACACGCCCGCCGCGTTCATTATTCAGGCATATTTCGATGGGCACGAATCGCGTGCTTCAGGAGATAGCATAGCGCTTATTATGTTTAGTTGCTACTGAAATTAATACGCTGTGTGTAAAAATACAATACATAATGTTATAAACAGAACCTCGTCTGCAACTGGTTTGAAATGTACAATAGAATCCCTAATGCAAAATGTTTATGAAAAGACTTTCGTTTCATGCTTTTGTTTTGTGGAATCGAGGCAAGCTCTTAAATCTCTCGAAAAATTTATTCCCTTCAACTATTCGATGTTAGACTAACAAAGATTAGTAAGTCAATAACGTCGAGGTCGTCGTTTTTGTGGTTTTACCATCTATATAGTAAATGGGAATGGAAACAAAATATAAGTGTGTGCTAAATGTAATACTTTTTTTATGATACCAAGTAACAGGACGGACAAGTCGTGTGTCTGGTGTTAAGCGACACGCCTGTCTATAGCAGTTGCAGTGTCACTCAGTGCTTTAAATAGGAAAGGTCTGAGCGACATTTTCACCAGCACCCCTTTACTGCTGGAAATAAGTAAGGTGGCAGTACTTCCCTGGACGAACTCTTTCGAACTTCCCTGGACGAACTCTTTCGAACTTCCCTGGACGAACATATTTTTCACACTCTTCGACAGCCTCTTCAGGTGATGAAAATCGTTGACCGCGTAACTGGTTTTTAATTTTTGGAAATAAATAAAAGTCACAAGGTACCAGGTCGGGACTGTACGCGGGATGGCTCATAAGGTCAACGTTGTTCACTTTCGAAAATTCATTTATCTGTCTGGCCATGTGAGAACTGGCATTATCATGGTGTAAGATCATACGGCCTTTACGGTTGCTTTTACAGAGTTTGTCAATAACTTCCGGCAAACAAATGGTCATGTACCAATCACTATTTACGGTACAACGATTCTTCAAAGCAACAGCAGCCACGTGTTCAGTTTTATTAAAAAAAGAAGCGATCATCCGCTTAGAGGCACTTTACACGCGCGCCACTTTGTTTGGTTTCGGCTAAATCCATGTTTCGTCACCTGTTACTATGTCCCACAATAAATTTGACGCCCCATCGTTGAATCTGGTAAGAATGGCATTGCACCAACGGTCAAAGTCAAATTGTGTGGGATCCACCGAGAGCACAGCTTTTTCACACCAAAATATTTGTGTAGTATTGATTGAATTTTAACTCATGTCTATGCCTAAAGATGCCCCAATCCCATGGTATGTCACATGCCTGTCTGTTTTGATCATACGGCGCACAGCATCGATGTTTTTGTTGTTCACAGCAGAGGACGAGCGATCACAACATTCGTCACTGAGGAGATTCACACGACCCCGTCTGAATTCTGCAAACCAGCTATAAATGTCGTCTTGCATGGTGCTTCATCGCCAAAAGTAGTCTGAAGCTAAAGTCGTAGAAAATCATACTACAAAAATGTTGACGAGTTAAATCCATGGTTATGTAGACAACCAATTTCTAAAATGACGCCACAATGTAAAAACAAGTGACAGTCAGATGGATCAAACTGTATTCTACAGCCAAAGATTTCCATTTTCAAATGTTGTAATTATTTTTTAAATATTTTTTATGTCAATGGCCAGTTCTGGAAACTTATAGTGCGCCCTAAGTATTATTTATTACATTTAGCGCAAAGTAAAAATGTTGGTTAAATGGTGTCCCTACCTTATTTCAAAAGTCATCCATACATTTTCTTCTTTGAAGTCAATATTTTGATATGATATTCTGTTTTGAGAAGTTCTGAAGTCTGATACAACTGGTAAGTAAGGCTGTGCACGTAATTAATTAGATGATGTTACGGATCCACACTTAATATCTTCGATCTTCTGGAGCCTGCGTACGTGGCTAGTCGTGCTGTTATTGAAACTTCGACTTAGTGTAGCTAGCTATGCTGTAGAAAGTAGTTTTAATAATTTAGTAACTGGGGTTGAAAAGAGATGTATTTATGTACCTAAATGTTTGTAAGGAATTTTAATGACGAGTAGCCTATATAATAATTTAACACTCTAGAAACGTTTGTTTTAATTAAAAAAAAGAACCCAAACAGTGTGTCATTTATGGAGCGTGCAACTCTATTTATGAAAAGCACTATATGTACCTCAGCCATTGGTTAGTAGGTCAATGACCTCAGCAGAAAGTGGATTGCCTGACTCATAAGATACCTCGCTCGGCCTGTCATACTCGCCTTGTCTCTGCAACAATGTAGTAATACGCGGATTAAAAATATAATTAAAAATATATTTAATACACTGGTTATCAATACTTTTTCCATTGAGTACTATTGTGGATGTGTATATATGATTATAAAGAATGTTCCGAGTATTCTCTCGCGCGTTGGCTCAATAAACTTATTACTTATTTGTCTTTTCTGTGGTTATACCTATTCGTGGACTAAGCTCTGTTAGCACGGATACAGAATATGAGTTTGTTATCTTATTGTAGGAAGTAAAGTAAAATAAATGTAATTTGAAGTCTTTAGTTATTGCTAACGGTGAGGTATATTGGTATATACCCTCACAAAGAGATTTCTACAAATAAGGAATTTGTCTGTTGAAACTTCTTAACCGAATGCCAGTTTAAGGCAAAATGCATTTAAAACAATGGCGTAAATCGTTTGAGTTCAAAATCAATGGAAAGGTCCGCTCAATGCGGCTCAAGCTCTTCGAAAAAAGTTTCCACTTTG